AACTTTAGGTATTAAAATACAATTAAATCAGCAACCACGAACTCGCTCAAAAAATAATTAATTTTTGATAATACTTTTTAAGAGAAACTTAAAGGCTTAACGTTGTTCAAATTACTTTTTTATAGAAATAAATTAGTTGCACTTTAAACTAAAACACCACCTTATGAGACTGGGTACACATACGGATGCAAACTGTAGATTCTATAAAGAAAACTAGGAGTCGGCCACACAAATGCTATTAGAATGCCTGGGAATGTATATTCTTACGTATTAGTCAATAAAACTCTGTAAAGTAGGTTCCATATTACTTTTTATTGACGCAACAGAGCTTAAAGACCTACTCTAAATCCAGAAGGGAGCACAATAGACCCGAAGGTCGCAGTGTCACATCTCCTAACAATAATAATAATGCAAAGATTTTATTATATTATTTCCACTAATCTTATTCGACTATTAGTACATCATGGTACATTAGAAACAGCGACCTTCACCGCGATCTAAATGTATCAACTGCCACTGTAGATATAAGTAAAGTGGCAATGATCTCATCATGAAAAACTTCGCTAGCATACAAATAAAGAACCCATCAAATTGCTTGACACTAGCACCTTAAGAACACAATTGAAACGTAGAAAACCTTTTGAACTGATGGCGCACGCTCAATAATGTTCAATAGAATGTATTGATATCTATTTATATGTCAATCAATGTAAACGGCACGTTGGTCAACAATGGCTAGTTGCAATGATAGAAACTTTTATCTCAGCACCTCTTGTAATAATTGTTTCAATAAAAAAAAAATTTGACTATTTAAATCATAAAGAAATGTACACACTTAGAACTGCGGGTATTATCAGTGCTTAGAATAATAGAAAACTACTTAAGCATACAAATATTGTTTAATAACAATAACCGATGAGATTTTTGACAAATACCATACTAAGCTGTTTCTTAAATATTTTAGATCGCCTAGTCTTAAAATGGCAATATAGATCAAATAAAATAAATAAAATTGCATTATATATCGTTCTGATATGCTGACGAACCGATAAAGTGGACTTGCCAATTTCGTAACCGTGGACCAACTTTACTAAGCCGTATCGTTAATGGCTTTAGTCTTAGCGGCTTTAGTGTTAATGTTCATATAAGTGTTTTAATTGAAAATGAAAATATTTCATTTGAGGCGATTGCTGTTACATAAATAAATAAAACTAATATCCCTCCTAAAAAAATCAAAAATAAAATATAGGAGAATCAAAATGTTTTTGAGATTAATCCTGAAATTATTGAAATTAAAATGGTTTGAATTAATAATATTAATCCAATAGATAATGGGTGATTTAAAAATAAAAATGTAATACTTGAAATTAGTATTATAGATAAGATTAATATATGTAAGATTTCAAGAAATAGTTTAATTAAAATATAAATTTTGGGAATTTATGATAAAGAATTATTTCTTTTTTCTTGAGAGTTTTAAAAGATTATTCTTATTTTTGATTTACAAGACCAATGTTTTTATTAAACTATTAAAACTAAAAAAAAAAAGTTTTTTTTAGAAAAAACTTTTTGGTTTATCTTTATTGTCCTTAATAAATAAACTGAAAATAGTAATCATATAGACATAAAAATCTTAAGTTTTTTAAACTTTAAACATCTTCTATCACTCATTGTCAAGCATGTGGCACGCAAAGAGCAAGCAGAACTCAGACCCAATTGTTTGTAGGAAGATCATATTAAGAATCTCCAAATAATTGTTTACCATATAGTGAAGTAACTAGCTCTCCCCACCCCCTGCCCCCAACATTTCATTCCTATCGCCATTGAACAAGTGTTCGACACATTTCTTTATAAGATCATATGGACAGCACTTGAATGCAACTGTATCCTTAATTTATTTGATAAAGTGTCTCTTGTCAGGTGTGCACAGTTCAGCCATGCATGTGACATGCACCAGCAGATGTATCGAAGTAAATTCCATGGTCAGACATGGAAGTTTACTTTTTCCGCTATTATTCAATGTTATTCTTGATATTATTATATCAGAAAAAACAGCCAAAGGCCATTAAATCACATTCGGGTAATATAACAAGCTAAGCAATATAGATTATGCATACGACATTTGCCAGAACTCTCACAGCTTAATTAAGGATCATAATCAATCTCAATCTATAAGCAAAATGAGATAATATCAAAGCTAACAAAAAGTTAAAAGTCACATCAACGCGACTAAATAGCTGTAACTCATTAAACTTGGAATCAGTAAACTCATGCATCGGGGATAATTTATTTTAAACAGGTAGCTGTAACTATTGTATATCAAAAAAAGGCAACAGCAAACAGGACATACAAAACAGAATAACAAAAATTAAGTTAAAATTAAATGAATTTTAAAGTGTTCGATTATAACTATCAGACTTTCAAATATGAAGTTTTTAGAAGTAAAAAAATATTATTCAACTTTAATAATAGTTACAGTAATCCATTCAGCCGTCAACGAGTACCCTGCTAATTTCTGTTTCTTTTTCTAAGATATCATTGGACAACCACGAAATGTCAGACCTTACGGTTTATATTTGAATCTAATGAATAAATTTGTCCAGTATATAGCTATATCTACTAGCTGTACATAAAATTAAGATTTTCAATGACAGCGTATCATAGTTATTCTATTAAATAGCTTACATATCAACGACAATTCAAAACCAATTTACAAATTCGAGCATTGATAAAAACATAACTAAAATTTATATTAAAATTATTGTTAAACTTACTGAGTTCAAATATATTCAATTAATACATACTTAAATTCATTTAAACTTCATGAGAATTATACATTATTTATAAAATTTGAAGCACTAACTAAATTAAAAGCACTAAGTATCACAAAAATTAGCAAGTATAAAGCCGAAGTAAATTAGAACTCATTGCCTAAAACTTATTTTAGAAAATCAAATATTAATTAGTTCTGCATTATAAGTCATCAAATTTTGATTCCAACTAAAGTGCAACAAAATTTTGACCGAAATAAATTAGAACTCAATGCGTAAAACTTATTTCAGAAAATCAAATTTTCATTAGTTCTTATTACTAAGATATTATATTGAGATTGTATAAATTATGCATATTGGCAAAATAATACTTTTGCGTTTATTTACATACTCGTATTTATAAAAGATACAAAATACGTTTGGGAAAGGTACACTGTTAGAAGAGAATTGTTTTCTCACTCAAAGATTTTTTATTTTATGGACATTATAGACTGATTGGTATATAAGTCCCGTAACTATTTAAATTATATTGGAAATCAAACACTTGTTAAAACCAATAAACTGTTCTAATTATATATAGTTGTCCATATCATGCATACCTACAGTATAAGATGTCACATTCGAACATTTACTCTGATTTTTGTTAAATTGTCTTCATAAATAATTTTATACAAAGTGGAATGAAGATTTGGACAGTTCGTCTATATTCTTGTTCATTTCACTATTTTACTTTCAGAAATAAATTTAATGAAGAGGTTCATTCTTTAAAGAATTATGTTAAGGTAGAAACTAGAGAAATTGACTGCCAAACTCAAAAAATATTCTCTAACCACATACTAGTTAAATTGATCTGATCATTTTGTTAGAGAAATTGTATCTCATGTGGTGAAGAAGGTATGAAAACCAATATGTTGTACGGTTGAACCAACTTGATGCGTACAGCAGGAATATTTTGACTTGAGATGTAGTTTTAATTTGGTTAAATTAACCAAATTATTTTTCTGAGTGTGGGGTTCCATATTCTTTTAAATTGTATAACAGAATCTTTAATCTTATTATTTTTGGTTAATAAGATTTTTTCTCTAATTACTTATATTGCTTCAAAGATATATTTTAGATTGTATACATTGTATTACAGTTTCTTGGTTTCTAAATGAATAAAAGGAGAAAATAGAACCCAATATCCGCTCCTGATGGTTCAACTTTTTCATTTACTTACTTCTAAAGTCGTTTTAATTTAAATTGATGTAAAAAGTCAATATTATTTTATTGAACTGAATTAATCCTAACTATTTTTTGTTTCCAATAAAAAAAAGCATTTCTATCATTACTTTTTACCTTAGCTATACCTAAACAGTACAAATTGAAAACTGAACGCAATTTAATAATAATTACAACACAAAACCTAATGGAAATTGACAGATACTTGAAAAGCAATCAAATAACAAATTCCATTATAATCTGAATATCAGTAGTTCAGGAAAGTAAATACAATCGTCAGAAGGTAATTCACACCCATCATCGTCAGTTTAATTAAACTTGTAATTGTGGTGGAATACGGGTTAATTGCGTAATTCCAGCAGTTACTATGAGGTACTCCCAGAAAATTTGGAAAATAAATTAATGCATTCGGACGATAATGAAACCATAATGTACAAATGAAACCATAATGTAAACAAAAACAAATGAAAACATTAAAAAGCTTTCGGAAAGAGCTACAACAGATACTCACTCACTCAGATAATATTTTGTTTCGCAAAAGATTGAAAACTTTAATCTTGAGTGCAAACTCTTTTCGCTCGTGCATCTTTTTCTCAGAGACTCTGAGATAGATGGCCAGCCGGCCAAATACACTTCTAGTCGAAATTTTTGTTTTCAGTTTCAGTTGTTTGACGTCGTCGTTCTGAACAGTGGTGTGGTTCTTGCATTTAAGAAGTAGTTAAAGTATCTTATATTTTCGTATTTTTGAGTAGAAGTAAACAACTTCTTATAAATCCGGTTCATAAGTCTTAAAACTGTAATTAATTACTAGTTATATTACAAAAAATAAATAATAAAAAGATAAATGCAAGAAGTTGTTAAGATTTGCTTTTGCTACCGGCAACTACGCAAAATACTTAATTAAAATAAGAAAAAATCAAAAGAAACATAAATAAAAAGAATTGCGAAAATATCTCAGATAAATAAATAAATAAATAAATAATATTTTTGCTTATGTAGGCGCATTTGATGTATTTGAATTTATAAAATAATACTTATAAATTTTATTCTTTCCGACTGGCAGTGTCTTAATTGAAAGCAATTGCAGTACACAAATCGAATTTCAACGAAATATTGAAAAGAACTAGAAATATTTTCAAACTATGAGGTAAGCAACCACACCGAATGTGCGTAGATACTTACAAATAAACATGTCTTACAAGTTTTGTAATGTTTTCACACATCTCACTACATACATCTACATTTTTATACACATTTATAATTTTTATATGAATTCTAGTTGCTCATCATTTTGAAATAAAAGACATTTTGTTTGCGTTTGGCTCAAGTTCAAGGTTTCTTGAGATACAATTTGTAAAGCACATTGTCATCAGCTGTGCCGACAGCCTTCATTGTAATTCCTGACATGTTTAAGTATTCAAAGGCTAACAATTTTGTTATTGTTTAGAATTAAAAATTTATAAAATTTACTAAGAAAAAATATATATAAAAATATAATTATAATTATTTTTATGATTCATAAGTAAGTTTTAAGCTCATGATAAACTGCGTTCAGCGTTGATTACTAATTTCAAAACTATTCGCTGTGTGCATAAATATTTCAGATACAATGAGCTATGTTTACATCCATCTGCTAACATTTTATAAACTCAATTTTGAGTGCTAAATATTTTTCTATAAAAATTACTCGATTTAACTGGCGGTTCTTACTCTTGCAGCACAAACAACAGGTGTTCACTTCTTGTAGATACTCTATTAAACTTTAATCTATGAGTACTTTTCAGTATATTATATATACTGAAATACAATATATAATATTAAAATAAAATATATTTTATACAAATAAGTATTCTTGAAATGCAGAAAATTTCTACTTCGTATTACAAATCAGGAACAAAGTTGAACCAAGTTTTAATTTATTATTATTAGGTCTATACAATATTAACAGTTGTATCGCAATTATTTTATTAATATATATTTTTTTTAAAAGACCTTTTAATACCTTTTGTTTCAATGTCTACTACTTAGAAGATACAATAACAAATATTATATTAAATCTCTACAATTACATTGAAATTTATAAAGCTTTGAGAAGATCGACTGCTCCAAATGCAGTATTTAGAAAAATACTGTATTTATACTTCTTTTTTAATCAGAAACAGATGATCTTAAGAATACAATGCAAACATTGAGAATTACTAATGTTAATTGTTAACGAAAAGCAACTATTTAAAAGGAGTCGAATAGCAAAGAAAGGACAAGAACAAAAACTTTAATTAATTTATTAAAATTTGGCTGACCATATAACGCTGTTTCGAGTATTGCCAAGTACTCATCATCAATGGTCTTAGGAAATATATGAATTTCTTTTTAATTACTTTATAGTCCATATATAATTTGTTTGGACTGCAAGTGTCCGGCTTAGAACTCGTGCCTGTCAAATTACAAGCGGTGACTAATCGTTTTTTTCTAAAAGTAGCCAAAGCTGCACAAACTTTCAATGCTCAAGTTCCAGGTTTTTTTTTTCAAAGTGTCACATATAAACTATAGCTTTATTTGAAAACACAAATTCAATAAATTGAAAGTAAATTTTTAAATTTTCCTTTTTTCATATCATACCATAAAACTTAATTATTTACTTAAATAATGATTACAACTAAACGTCGGTGTTGGACACGTATTACAATCTCATCCAGTCATCCAGTCATATTTAAAATACTGACGCCAACTAAACATATCAAGCTTTAACAGGTTACCCAGTGCTTAAACTTTTCATCGTATAGAAGTATTTTTCCTTCGAGATTTTTTTCTAATCATACAGTAACTGTAACTTAATATATCTAGTATTATTAGGTTACCCAGCGTTTGATTTGTCCATCTTTAAGCAGTTTTTCGACGACTTCGACGATTTTTCCGTATCATGCGAGTCAAACTTATCAATTGTAACAGAGGCTTTTTTCTTCAACGACTTTCTTCTTATCATATTGTTTTATACGTTTTTTTGGGAACCACTGATATAGACTGATGAAAGATGAAAATTTTCTTCTGAAAGACTCTTGTGAAACACTTAACATTGTTCTTCATCATCCACGTTTTTCATTCATCACATAATAGGACGAGTAAAATAAACGATTAAAGAGTAATTTTTAGCCGATTTCTACTTCTCAACTGCCTAGTAGATCCTCTGATCACTCTTGGCAACGAGTAGTACTATGGGCTTACTAGGCAGTTGAGAAGTCGAAATCGGCTAAAAATTATTCTTTAATCGTTTATGTAGTTAAAAAACTAATAACATGTATAAAATCTGAGTTTGCCAATCATTATATCCCTGGCGGCATAAATATATAGATACATATACAGATGAACAATCTTGAAAATAGGTAGAAATCGTTGTCAGATAGATTTGCCTAGTTAGGGCAATAATGTATATATTATATGTTCCTTATAGTGTCCTTAAAATCACCTTAAAATCGATAACAAAATGTTGTCCCAAGTGTATATTATGATATTAAAGTCCTTTATCAATTAATATATATACTGAGATTTTAAAATTGTGGGACTATAATCATAGAAGCAATTAACCCGTGGTTAGGGTTAATAGATCCTTTTATATATATACTATAAAAGTAATAATATATATTAAAATGGACCATTATATATTCAGTAGACTTATAAACATTCTAGTTCACTACAATTATTAAGAAATTTTTTTAAAGCGGTTTTAAAAAGATTTTATATAAAACAACTTGTTTTCCTTGACTTAGCTCTGATTTACCTCTACATTAAATCAGAGAGCTATATTACAGTACATACATATACATATGTATATATATATATGCTTATATATTGATATAATAAATTTAATAAAATTTAATGTATTTATTAATTTTCATGTACTTTATTTTATAATGACAGCAATATTTACTTCTTTGTCTTAGATAGAAGTTAGTGAGGGTTATACTTCGGGGGAAATATATTTTACTACTCATTACTTTTTCATTATATTTTTGATTTAAGATAATCTATTATTCATATCAATTTAAACTTAAGAATTAATTTAATTATTAATTTAAACAACATTTACAATTTTAAAATACAAGACACGATATTCAATAGCTGCCTTTCAATCATCCGATATAAGTTAATAAAAAATCATATATAAAATAAAATATAAAATTAAAGGTGTCGGTAACGAAATGAAAATGTATATAGGTACATATTACTATATATATAATACATATATTAAAATTTTACTATTTGTTATCATAACTGCATCAAATAATGAAAATCTTAAGCAATAATTTTATGAAGTCAATGATTTTATTTTTTCTAAAAATTCTGTTAATTAAATTAAATTATTGTAACGCCTTAGTTTATTTACCAATAAATAAAATTTTTCAATATTTGATATAAAATAACGAAGATGACATCATGCAAATGTTTCATCTTTTTAGCACATTTCTTCCTTTTCTTCTCTCGGCTAAGCATTACATTTTCACATTTATCTCTTATCGTGTTCTAAATAAAAATTATTATGAAATGTATCTGGAAAGCATCAGTTTATTATTCAAGAGTTTCAGCAAAAGATTTTGCAAAACAAGTAAAGAAAATTAAGCAAATTAAACCAAAGAAGAATAAACATCAAAATTTGCAAAAAACATTTTAAAAATTATTTATATTTTCGATTGTTTTAATTTTTTTAAAAAATGGTAATATATTAGTGTGCTCAAGCACTAATACAATAATAATAATAATTAAAATAAAAAAAATAAAAATTTATTTAATATCTATTAACTAATTTGTTAATAATTTATTTTTTTCTATTCTTAGTTTAGAAGAAAATCCAGATCTTACCGGTGAGGTTGAGCTTGAGCCTGAGCCGAGTATTTTAGTGACACCACTTGCACCTTATATAACTCCTCCACCACCTCCTATTAAGGAAGAGAGTGATGAAAATATGGCTGCTGCTAGCAAAGAATTAGCCACCAATTCAGATGTAAAGGATAAGCCTGCGACTACATCGGAAGATGGTATCTTTTCCATTATGTATACCATATGCAAGAAAGTCGCTATAGTGGGTTCAATATATCTGGTTGGACGTATGGGTTGGTCTGTGGCATGGCTGATTGCACCAGTAATATTTTCAGTAGCACGCGATCAGTTCCGAAAAACTACCGAACATAAACGCAATATTGCCAAGGCTTCAGCCTTAGCTAATGAAAAAGATGTAATTTTGGCACGTATTGATGAGCTCCCCGCATGGGTAAGTAAAAAGTATAGTATAAATTTAGTATCATATTTATATATATGTTATTGTTTTTATTAATACCTTCTTGGTCGTCTTGATCACCAAATCGATTATGTTTTGTTTTCGATCTATTTAATCCCATTATAATTTACACTGAGCGAAGGAAAAAGGTTTTTTAGTTTCAATGGTTATAATTGCATCTCAATATTGTAGATCAAATACCTAATTCTCTACATATTACATCTATTGATATCTCACTTTAAATGAACTGTCTTTAAGTTTAATGATATTTAATTTAGTCTTCGAAGGTTATTAACTGTTTTTATATTTAACAGCAATTGAATTCAATAATGATGTAAATTTCATATAATATACATAGCATTTCTTTAGATGTTTTAATTTATTTAGATTATAAGAAATTTATACTGTTTTTTTTTGTTTTTGTATTTTTATAGATCTGAACTACCTATTTAAAACCATCAACGTTTCCACTTTTATACAACCTTTATACAATATTTTATACTTTTATACAATATTAGTAAAATGTTTCCTTTGTCGTTCAAAGGCTTTTGTGAGCATTTAAATAAGAAATGGGTTTTGTGATTCTTTTTTTGCAATATATTTTATATAATCAATTGATTTTACAAGCATAGACCTAGTTCAATTAAATGGTAATTGAACAATCGACGAATAATTGAATATTAGAAATATTTCCAAAAAGACCAGAAATGATGGGTATTTGGCATTATTGGAAACATATAAAGTCATTCAATGATATGGTCAATAACATATATAGTCAATATATAGTCAGTCAAAAATTAAATTGATTAAAAACATAATTTGTGTATTTATTTCGCTAGAAAATATCACTATTTCAATTAGATTCAATATCACTAAGTACTAGAAACTAGTTTCGAGTTAAAAAAGGTTCCTTCATCATAATTGACTTTATAATTCAACTTTAACATACTATCTCGCACATTTTTTACCTTCCTCTTTTTCTTCTTAAAAGCTCTTTTACCATTTTCAATCCATTGCTGTTTGGTTCCCGATCGTAATTATGTGACGATGGATCTAAGTTTTAACGCCTCTTATGTATCAACCTGTTAAAGACTTTACCTTGTTTTACCTAAACTATTTCAATAAAGAACGTTAAGACAGTTGCTTTTCTTATTCAAGTTCAACAAACATAGCAACCAAAGCATAAAAAGTTTTCTTATACATAAATAAATATTCCTGCATGTTTTTTCAAAGACGGTTGGAGGAAACATCCACAGCCTCAACAAGCTCTCTAATATATATTTAATAATCATCCAATACCATTTTATGAATATTTTCAATGTTTTTCGTAGTGACGGTAGATTTTGAGTTTACAGAATGATTTGCATCACCTTAACTTGTGCTTCGTTTAAAGTAAGTCACCGATACTTTTACTATTGCATACGAGGTTGCAGAGACCGCAAATATAATCTAGATCTAGTTTGCATTTTCGTTTAATATTTTAAAAAGTCTTACAAAAGTTCACTTAAGGCGATACTTCTGTATCTGCATTTTTATGAGTACTTGAAGTTGACAAATATAAATATTAGCAACATACATAGTTTCCACTACAAACTGGTTTATCTCAGTTATGTGGGAGTTAAGTTTTGATTTTTAGAGTAAAAATTTAAAAAATTTTTTTAATATCTTATAAATTGCCCCCAGGTATTTAAAGTATGTTCGTATGTCTACATGCTTTTATTTCCTGGAGTAAAGCTTGATGTGTATATATCAAACCACAAATGAAAGGAAAGGAATCGTTGTTTTAATAAATTTGCTGAAAATTGTAGGACATCTTAAATATATATAAAATATATAAAAATTATTCTTCTTATTTGACACTACATTCCAGTATGAACCTTGACCTGCTTAACATTACAAGGTTGCGTAACGGGTGTTTTTTTCGATGCGAGGCTGCTGACCTTGCGTTTAATCCCCAACCTGGAGAACCAAATCCCCTCATTTGCAAATCTGGGGATAAAATTAGTGTTTTGTAGCTAGATAGTTTCCACTCTGTTAGGTGTTTTTAGGTTATACCGCTTGTGCTCAGTCGCCAGAGTCTCGTATGCGAGAACGGAATGGACCACGTGTAGGTGAGATTGGCTGCTGAAGCGGCTAGGCTGTGTATTTGCATCACTCTCTTATTGAGAGATACACTTCTGCTCCTTGCTATACCTAATATTTCTAATATATCTAATAGGTCTACTAAAAATATTTTAGGAATAATTTATGCTAGCAATAACCTTGTTAGCTAGTATAGTTGGCCATAGTTTGTTTTTCAAAGGAATGCTTACAAAAAAAATCCGAAAAGTATCTAACATCTACTTCATATATATTAGCTTAGGTTATACCGACGATCACAGGGGGATCCACTTAGGCCTATAGGCCCATTGTAATACCGTATTATTGAGAACACATGGACTCAAACCATCTAGAACCTTTAATAAAGCTTATGATGCTATATAGATGGAGGTCTCGAAGTTCGTCAAGATCCTCAAAAAAGAAAGCCCCCAAAAATTTAAGGCGACGCCGCGCATTTGCTGGACAGAAATAAAGTAGGTGGGAGGCACTTTCGTCATCTTCACCACGACTGCGGCAAAAATGGTTGAACGGTAGATTCAGTCTCCTAGCATAACCTATTAGTAAACCTACTACAAGACTGATATATCTACGGGACATCTCTAAGAGAGATTTCGATTTTCGATTACTTCATATAAGAACTAGGAACTTTTCGTACACCCTACGTAATTAGTTTGAATTTTGTTTTTGTATGTACTTTTGTTTTCTTTTTTTTGTTGGAATAATATAGATTAGTATTTATTTTAATTTTTTTTTTTTTTTATTTGCTTTTTATTTGCTTTAATAGACATAATTAAAAATTTTGTCGTTGTCTCAGAAAAAAAATTCTCTTTATGATTGCTAAGCATTTCTATTTACATTAAGACTGAAAAGTTTTCGGAAATTCTCATTTAAAATTCGCGCGCTGTATATTTTTCGATATTTTAAGTTTATGTAGTTTGGCAGCACTGTCATTAATTACTATGCCAAAAATGAGCGCGATCTGTCAGACAGTTCGTTTACGGCAGCTGTTGAAACCAGTTCACCTCAGTAGTGCGTTGCGAAATGTCTTCGACGGTCGTACGCCCGTCCTGAAAGGCTTTGTACCACTCATAAACTTGAGTTTTCGATAAAACTGATTTCCCATAAGCCTTTTGTAGCATTCGCAACGATTCTGCACACGAAATTTCGTTCGAAACACAAAATTTGATGCAAACTCTTTGTTCAATATTTTTTTCCATTGTTTTTTCCGCAACGCACTACTGAGGTGAACTGGTTTCAACAGCTGCCGTAAACGAACTGTCTGACAGATCGCGCTCATTTTTGGCATAGTAATTGTCCTTAATTGCTGCAAAACTACATAAACTTAAAATATCGAAAAATATACAGCGCGCGAATTTTAAATGAGAATTTCCGAAAACTTTTCGGTCTTAATGTATGTTCTCGTATTCATATTTACAATAGAACGATGATTACTCACTTCAATATCACATGTACTGTGAACATGACTTATTGCAAACAAATAAGTTATATATTTTTACAACATTATTTATTCGAGATTTATTACATTATAAAACATATATATTCTTTGTGTATTTTACGCAGCAAGAATTACCATATACCTTATAAATATCAATTATTTTAGAATTCGTATTTGATTCCTTTAGTTATCTAAGTTTTATCTTTTATTCAGCTAACACCATTATTTTTATAAATAATTTTGATTCTATTTTAAAACCATATCTGATTTTGATATAATTATGGCTTAACATTTGATTTCATATACTATATTGAAACTATTCTACAATTACGGATACGTACTATACTATTGTCAGTCATCAAAACTATCACAATTTCCTAAATTATAAAAAAATTAAAGATTCTATTCACTTTGTATATATTTCTAATATATTTTACTAGTTCATTATAATTAATGTTTACATTCTTCATAGCTACTTTAAAGAACAATGAAAGAATGTTTGTTAAGACGTTCAATATTGCTAAATATAATGTTTTGCATTCAAATGCTACTGTCATCGCGCATAGTGAAGTATATAAAAGAATATGATGAGAATAAATCCTGCTTAAAGGTTAAAAATCTTCTTTTTCTTATAAATTGAGTTTATATCTCCATGTCAGTGGTTCTCAATTAGTCCGTCGACCATAGGTGGTCTGCGAGATAGTTAAAAATGGAACATAAATCAAATTTAATCACTGTTCACTGATACCTCACTTATTAGAAAATAAGCACAAAAAAGAAAAGAAACTATCTGAAAGTTAAAAGACAACCAAAAAAATTTAACTAATTTATTGAAATATGGCAGACCATTTATTTTTATCTTTATTATAGGTTTACTTCCCCGATGTTGAACGTTGTGAATGGGTAAATAAAGTAAGTAATACTTAACATTTTTGTCATTATTATTATACCTTCATAGCATAAATCTTCTACTGTAATTAGATTCTGAAGCAAGTATGGCCAAATGCCAACCATTATGCCCGAACCTTAGTCAAGGAGACAATTGAACCCAATGTAGCCGCCGCCTTGGCGTACAGAAAAATAAATGGTTTCCGGTTCGATCGCATAATTTTGGGAACAATCCCACCTCGCATTGGCGGTGTCAAGGTTTATGATAAGAACGTCGATCGCAATGAAATAATTATGGATTTAGACTTGTTTTATGCCAGTGATTGCGATATTAACTTCTATATTAGCGGCGTAAAAGGAGGAATAAAAGATTTCCAAATTCATGGCTGGGTACGTGTGGTAATGAAACCACTAATTAGATCAATGCCATTGGTAGGAGGCCTACAAATATTTTTCCTTAATAATCCCAACATTGATTTCAATTTGGTTGGTGCACTTGATTTTATGGATATGCCAGGTCTAAGTGATCTGTTGAGACGCATAATAGTTGAGCAGATTGGTGCTGTTATGGTGCTGCCAAATAAATTGGCAATTGCGATGAGTGATGAGGTCCCAGCTACAACGCTTAAAATGCCACAACCTGAAGTAATTTTTTTTATTTTCAATTATATATTAATGCAGATATTTTATAATTAACCTGGTTTTGTGATTTCAAGGGTGTTTTACGTATACACGTAGTCGAAGCAAAGAATTTGATGAAAAAGGATATCGGTGTCTTAGGTAAAGGCAAATCTGATCCTTATGCGCTTATTAATGTTGGAGCACAAGAATTCAAGACACAGATAATTGAGAACAACGTCAATCCCAAATGGGACTATTGGTGTGAGGTAAGCTAACCGCTCCAATGAGCAGCAAGAGCTTGACATTTTTTTGCATTCATGATTAATTGGAATTTATTTTAAGACTTTATTTCATTTATAGTTTTATTAAATAATTAATATGCACTCCTTTTAGTCATTATCGAACAGTTTTTTCCAACTTCTTTTCTTAAAAGATAAGAACAGTCGCATGCTCAACTCTATAAAAAATTTTTATTTCCAGTTTTGTTTTTTAATGAATTTATTTAATTTGATTGAGTTCCGTTTACTTTATTTTATGTTTGAAACGAATTGTTTTCTCACTAAAACTCTGTGAAACACTTTAAATACCTATCAACTCAAAAGGCTAGAATATTTGTCGAACTGGGTCAAAATATAGAGATTTTTATATACGATAAAGATGAGACCAGTGATGATGAAATTTTGGGCAGGTAAGTGTCAATTAATTTCTTACTAAATATTATTAAATAAAGAGTAGTGGTTTCAAAATTGGTAAAAAAAACAATGTAAAATGTCTCCCAGCTATAATGTATGAGATCGATGTTCGTAGATTTATAATAGCTAACGTGAGTAGATCGTCTTTTTAAAAATTTGAATGGAACTAGTATTTTTCCTGTAATAATTGTACTCTCGCATGACGCCTTTGTTTTCCTGTTGTTTATTTTCTACTAAAACTATATATTTAATCTACAATTTACATATGTTATTCACTCAATGTATCCTTTCAACACATAATTTTAGACTGCGGTACTTGTTAATGCCACCTTAAAGCAAGAAATCTGCTTTAGAATTTGGGACTCTGATCAAGGAAACGAAGATGACTTTTTGGGCAGGTTGTAACCCGTTTGTATTAAAGTGTTACATTAGTTTCTTTAATTTTCAATGAAGATCTTATTATTATGTTATTGTTAAATGCATTTAATAAAAGCATTTGTTCTGAAAATAATTTCTGCAAATCTAACCGATATTGTCTAATGCCTGCTTTGTTCTATGTTCAAGCTCAATTAATTGCCGTGACTATCTTTCAAGTTCGATATGTCTAAAATTTATGAGATAAAAGCTATAATAAATTAAAAGTGACCTTAAATAAACAAATGCCCTAATATCATATCAATAAAATTTCTCTAATTTCAATTTATACCAAATCCTTGATTTTTGAAATAGCTTCATCCCTTGAAGAGCTACCCAAATAAACTGAAGAAATAAATGTCTGTTAAATTAAATTAATTAATTAAGTTTACCAGTTTGTATGTAAATTGTATGTACGAATGTGAAACTACTTAAAAAAGCGCATATATGATCCTGCTCTTGATTTTTTGATATCGTTAATTTGTAAAACCTTTCGATTGAACATCGACTAGATATGATTGCAGAAATTCGATTAAATGTTAAAAGACGGTCGCAGAAGTTATCTTGAAATCGCTAAGGAACTAAACTTAAATAAAATGGCAAACATAAAGCCTAGTAAGCAACTAATATTTAAAAAAAAGTACTACTAAATTTTCTCCAAAATAAACGGTCAAAAATTTCAATAAAGTAATCTTATGTTCTCAAGTCGAAGCAGTATAAAAATTTAGACATTATTCACATTCGATTCCTTGATGTAAAAGAAAAAGTATCGCTTTTTTCTAACGTCATTGTTTTGTAATTTTCTTCTAGAGATTTATATATAATATATTTCAATAATGCTCTTAAGCGATGTAAACAAAGGATTAAGGGAATTACTTCCTCAAATTATTAGTTATTTTTTAATAATTTTTTCTTTGTTTTTATAAACTTTATCTCATATTCCGAAATTTATCCAATAGAATCTATATATTGTAATATGCGCTAATAATATATAAAATATTAAAAATATCATTTTTTCCATCTTTAATTAAAGTTCAACTTTTGGATAAATCATTTTTGAGTTAAGTGCGGTTTTCATAAAAAGTAGATTCTTAATAATTCCTAATAATTTTTTGTTTTATTTTTTACCTACCATAAAAACCATACAACCCTATGATGAAACTCGCTGATCCATTTACTTAAGTAAACTCTACTTTTGTAATGTTGTCATTGTTTTTATAACTTCAATAATAAATTTTAATTATAATAATTATTTCAATAACTAATATATATATTAAAATATTATAATTATAAGCTGGCATAAAAAGCAGTATAGCTTCAATAAAGTTTATCTTGCGAATTGCCCATAGCATTACTAATAATATAACATAAAGTAACTTCATATACGATTATCATTTTTAAAGTACATAATTGTAATATTCAAAACTATCACAATAGCATATAAGCATATAAATAATGTTGACTGAGTGGTGTAGACAGGATTTCTCAAAAGGGATGGGCGTTCACAGGTAGGCACTGGCACACCGCACTCACCCCCTTTATCTTAATAGTTTGCACCTTAGCAAAAAAATTAAATTTTTTTTTTTTTTTTTTTTTTTTTTGTTTAAACTTCATTTTATTAAATACAATCTATTCTATTCATGAATAATAAGTACTACTTATGGCAATAACAATATATGATTGGCATGTACGGGACTACCCAGTGGTAATCACCGCCTTATGAAGAATTACAATTTTTAGAATCTGCTCGGCAAATCCGAAGTTGCATAGCGTATTAATCTACGAATGTTAAAAGCATCCCTCGTTAGGCCTGCGGCAAGGGGGTTAGGATGAACTACCAGTCGTGAGTGATAGTTGCTGCTTATCTGCTGTATTGACTCGTACACAGTAGGGATGCCAAGATCATGATGTAGGACGTTATTCGGGATAAACCATGGGGCGTTGGCGCAGATACGTAGTATTTTTGATTGAAACCTCTGAATCATATCTAGGTTTGACTTCGCTGCTATACCCCAGATGGGTATACCGTACGTCCAGATTGGCTTTAAGACGACCTTGTATAAAAGTATTTTATTTTGTAGCGATTATTTGGATTTGGGATTAAGTAGCCAGTAAAGTGAGCGTAGCTTTAGTCCTAACTGCTTCCGTTTTGTAAAGATGTGGTGACGCCAATTTAGACGGCGATCAAAATGTACACCTAGATATTTGGCGTTTTCAGCTTGCGGCAATTCACGGCCATTCAGTCTAACGGAAGGGCAGGTACCGTGGCGGAGTGTAAAAGTAGTTTGAACTGATTTGTTATCGTTAGCTTCAATGTGCCAAATGTCTAGCCATGCGTTGACATCGTACAGATTACTTTGCAAAAGTTGTGAAGCTACTACAGGATCTGCGTGTTTCGCCATCACTACAGTATCATCCGCAAATGTTGCAGTGTATGTTTTATCGCTGAGTGGGAGATCTGCTGTGAACAGAGTATATAGAGTAGGACCCAACACACTTCCTTGGGGAACTCCAGCCTCTATTTGAAAAAGTTCAGTGTGACAGCTATTCATTTTAACCATAAAGTGCCGATCTAGTATATATGATTTTAAGACGGAGAAGTAGCTATGCGGGAGTTGTAACTTTAATTTGTAGAGAAGTCCAGTGTGCCATACTTTATCGAATGCTTGTGTTATGTCGATAAAGGCTGCTGTGCAGTATTCTTTATTTTCCAATGCAAGTCTTGCAAAGTTGTATACTCTATTTACTTGTTCAATAGTAAAGTGATGTTCGCGAAACCCGAATTGGTGGTTGGGAATCAGACATCTATTTTCGATAACTGGCTTTAGACGTTTTAGGAATACTCTCTCAAATACTTTTGACAACACCGGAAGTAAGCTGATCGGTCTGTAAGATGTTGCAAGTTCGACGGGCTTACCGGGTTTTGGAATTAATATAATTTGAGCGACTTTCCATTGAGCTGGGTAGTGTTCACAGGTGCAAATTGCATTGAACAATTGGTTTATGAATTTAAAACCCACATCTGGTAGCTCATGTAGCACCTTTCCGGTTATCAGATCATATCCTGGAGCTTTTCTGGTTTTAATTTTGTTTTTTATGACCCACTTTAATTCACGAGTCAATGACCTAGGAATAGGAAAGTCTAATTGATGCGGTGTGTGAAGAAAAGCTTCAACTTCAGAGTCTTTCAGATTATTTTTTGAGCAGCGTGGCTGAAAGACTTTACCAAGATGCACTGCAAAAGTTTTCGCTTTATCAGCATCAGTTTTAGCCCATTGCCCATTACTCATCTTTATTGGTGGTATATGCGATGTTGGTGCATTAAGTATGCGTGTGGCTTTCCACAAGGAGTACTCAGTGGCCTCAGAGGGAGACAAGCTTGCTAAGTAAGTTGCAATGCTTGCATTTTTTCTTTTATTCATATTTTTATTAATTCATTACACATTTGTGATCGCACACAGGAAAATGAACTTTATCTGGTACATCAGTACATCAGTGCGTCTTCTCTCCTGTACTAATTTCGCTTTATATCTCATATAACTTATCTTTTTAGACCAACAAAGCACTGCACAAAATTAGGAGGAATAACAAGTCTGATTCAATATATTGATTTTGCCAAGATAACTGTATATTTTTCCCATTTATTGAAAATCGAGTCTATTTTGCAACTCACGTAAAGTATTACGACTCAAAAATAGAGGATATCTTCTTAACCGTATTAGTCCCTAGAGTTAATCTCATTTGTAAAGATGTGTTTTTTGGTTATTATACAAAGAAAACTTTGTAAGCTATAAATATATTCATTTAAATTCCGACTTTTTCAATGAATAATAATTGAAAAGAACAAAAATATCAGTCCTCTCTTCTGATGCCGTCTTCGCTTTGATAATTACGTCTAATTTCTTTTTCAAGATTTAATAGAGCGTATTTTCTCATTCCATATTAATTATATCATTTTATACTAAAATTCTTCCAATTACTTTCTTTTAAGGCAGATTTAATTATAAATAAAAATTTTAAAAAAATATTAATTAACGGATGCTTTATACCGAATTCCATACATAAATACATATTTTGAATACTTTTCTGTCTCCAGAAGAAATCTACTGATTCAATTTCCCCCAGCTATGGCTTTGCTTAAGATAGCACCTGCCTAATAAGATCATTTTTGCAATAAGTATACTTTATTTTGGTTTATGGATGGTTAAAAGGGACATCGCTGTTGGAAGATTCAAAAATTAAGTTGATGGAGTTTTCATAGTATTATTACGTTAAATTACTTTATTACTACTACATATACATACTATATTTAGAATAGACATACTACATTGAACATATTTTTAAGTCTACTTTTTAAATGTCTTTACATTATAATATTTGTGTTATATTTGTAGCTGGCTGCTTAATAAAAATATATACCTAAAAACTTTATACTAAAAGTATTCTTTTGTCATATATACTTTGCACTTTTATACTTTAAACCTAAAATATTATTTAAGGTTATCGAAAAATTATATTTATTAATGCACCTTAATGTTGTTCTTGTTGTCGTAGCCTGCAGGAATCTACTTATGTAGTCCCGTTTAGGTGTGGCCAACGGCACTTAATCGTCAAACTTGACGAGTAACTCTGGAACGTAGATCCGGCGGTTCTTGAAAAACACCTTAATCGTTCGTCCGTATTCTAAAACCAAATATAAATATACATAACTATAGATCTCTCACTTTATAATGCGTCTCAATTCTACTTATAAATATATAAAACTATAGGTGTCTTAAACTCACTTTCCAATTATTTAAAACTTTTTTAACTTTCGCTATCCCATATATGTTAACAACTTATCTTTAATTAATTTTGTGTACTTCACTTTGCATGTTTAAGAAACACAGCATGAACTTCTTACAATCCTTTAGTGTCTCAATGCATGTTAAGTAAAATTTAATTTATTTCAAATACACACATCCTGAATAATTCTAAAATATTATTTAGAGCTAATAAGGTATTTAAAAACCTATGTATATTTACATGCCTTTACGAAATTCTATACTAATTTGCCACTAACGATAACACCTCTCAACCTGTGAACAGGCGGTTGTGGAAGTTAAGCAACATATGATCTTAGTTCTTAGACTTTTTGACTGGGATCGCACCGGTGATGATGAATCACTTGGAAGGTTAGAAATTGTCAAAAATAATTAAAAATACAATAATAATTTCAATCTAGTCAAATATATAAAATAAAATATAAAATCTTTTACTTTAACTTATGCTTCTCAATAAAAACAAAATATTTTATAATTACTTCAATAAAAAAAACAATAAATGCATTTCGCTGTTGACTTAGATTTTGTGGGCACATAAATTACACACAAAACACTAATTAGTATTAATCTGCACTTTCTGCTATAAGCTTTTCAATTTATAAATACTTATCACATGTGAGTGCTGTGAGGTTTGAAGAATATCCAGTTTAATATATCTACGCTGCGTTCATACAGCTAAACCAGTGATGCGGTGACCGTATACACGCGTTGCTTGTTTGTTTTTGTAATGCTCTATGCTATAGAATTGAAGCTTCTATCTGAGAAAGCATAGATCTCTCTCATATGGTTTGGCGAGTCCACACAATCTGTCATGAACACTTACAAATCACGTGCATACTCTGAAATTCACATGGAAGGTCTATTGGCTTTTAGTTTAGTGCGCAAAATATTTTCCTCTTACAGGGTTCGTTCCCTCTCCTACAATCAATATGTACGCTTCTCCAACAGTATTATTTTACCATATTAAAAATCTTTTGAAAAAAGACAGTTGGGTGGACCTTTCTAAATACGGGTACTAAACCTTTGATATGTAACATATGCACTATTAATTAATTTTAATATACTAATTCTTTGATTTCTGAAAATTTACATCAACAGTTGTAAACACCTTCTTAAACTTAAAACTACTAAAGCCAAATTACACAGTTCTCTCGAACTAGGAGTTAAATTTCATTAAAAAATTTTGGATTAATAAATGTTTTAAATGTTTCATTTCAGTTAAACTAGAGTGGGAGCTTTGTGCAAAAAAGACACATAATTTGTTGTTTCTGTTGTTTCGTTAGATAAAGTGTAAAATATATTACTAATAATGTTCTTGAGGTAATATCTTTCTCAAGGACTCTTTTTGGAATTACCTATATCTGTTATATATCCATATATACAACACATACACAATATTGATCGTACCGTCATAGCAACTTTACTTCATTTTTATACTCATAACTCTTACCTGGAAATAGAAAAGACTTTCAAAATATTCAATTATCGACTACCTGGTTAATAAAGATGTGTAAAGCAATGCCTATATTTCAGGAAGATTTAAATTTTTAATTCACCTTGCCTGATTTCTAATACATTTAGAGTGCGTATAATAATTTGTATGTACATTTTTGAAAAATTTCGGTTTACATAAAGCAAAAACATATTGTCCACATATTCCTGCAAATTTACAATGGCTTTTGCAAACAAATTTACACGCATATATTATATATGTATATTGCTCTAGGAAATTCACATTTACGAAGAAAAATCATTGGAATTAATGCTTTGTTTCTAAGTAAAAGTAACGAGACATTTTATGCAAAAAATAAAAAAATTGGCTTTAAAAATTATTTACATACTTATATAGCCTTAAAAAGCCTAAAATCTAATCTGATTTTATTTATATTTTATTAATTATATAATTATATATTTTAGAGCTACCGTAGAAGTTGCGAATATCGTCAAGAGAGGTGTCCTTGATACAGTAAGTACTTACTTAAAACCTACCTAGGGTTTAGTAAAAACCTTTTTAAGTTTCATAAGGTTATATTTTCAGTTTTAGCTTATAAGTTATATATATAAAAACGCTATATTATAATATTTTATTATACTTATACACAATTTATTCCATTAGTGGCTCACATTGGAGGACGCTAAACACGGTTTACTACATATACGTGTGCAATGGTATTCATTAACTTCTGATCCAGCTGATTTGAAATTGGCTCTACAAGAAACTCAACTCTTACGTGTGACTTCAATGAGTACCGCACTGGTTACAGTCTTCATAGATTCGGCCAAAAATCTTAAGGCAAGTAGACCCCTTTTATGTGCAAAGTAATTGCAAGTATAATAAATTTATTTTAAAAATATATACATTCAATTATTCAATATTCTTAAGAAACATTTTCTATGAAATTGGTAAAAATTTAAGATATGATTAGTATATTAAAAAGTGTCAGATTTATTTTTCGTATTATCCAAAATATAGATTATCAAACAAAACTATGTCCAAAAGAAACCTTTAGGCATTTTGAGGAAACTTCATTCCAGTTATCAGGGGAGAGAAATGATAGTAGATGGACTTAATACCTAGTGAACTAGATTCATCTAAGCCAAAAAGCAAGGTCATCAGTTAAGGAGAAGGGGTGATAGGCATATAATATTTCTATATGTTAAAATTTAATCTAATGTTTAAAAAATTATAAAAAAGGTTTAAGTTCACCATTACTGTTCGAAACCTTCTATAAAAAAACTGTTTTAAATAATATAGATGAAGAACAGATTTTATGTAATTAAATAAATTTTAAAATTATTTTCACACTTTTTTGCAAAATTTTTATTGTTTAATATATTATTCAATAATAAAATTTTTGTAAAATTATTTGTCTTTAGTTTTCATATATCGACACCTTATTATTTTAGAAATACTTCTCGTCTGGTAATTTTGTGCTAATCACATACATATATTTTCTTTAAAATGGGACCCACAATGGAGATAGGCGTTTCTTTCTCTTTTTTTTTTTTTTGTTTTAATTTTTTGACTACAAATTACTTTTGATAAAGTTTTCCTTGACACCTAATACTCGTATTAAATATATGTGTTAAATATATGTATATCATTTAAAATAAAATCAGTATTTCATTAGCGATAAAAAATGTTCTGTTTTTCAATATAGCAAGCTCGTTCCAATTCACGACCTGATCCTTATCTTGTGTGCAGTGTTGGTAAACACAAAGAACAAACGGCTATGATTATGCGAGATGATTCACCAGTTTGGGAGCAAGGTTTTACTTTCCTAGTGGCAAATCCAGAAAATGATACATTGCAAATTAAGATTTTCGATCAAAAGACCGGTAGCGAAATCGGTCAATTTGCTTATATATTGGGTGCTTTGTTAACAAAGAAGAATATGGAAATAGAATCACAGCCATTCCAGTTACAAAAATCAGGCCCCGAATCTAAGATAATCATGTCACTTGCACTTAGAATTTTAAAATATGCTAACCCAGTTGAGGAAAATGATGTTAACGAAATCGGAATCGGAACCACACCACCTGCAGCTACACCTGCTGCAACCAATACAAATATTACACGTTCTAGTTCTGTAAAATCTACTACACCAGAAAGCATTTCAAACAAGGTAATTAATTCTATTATATATATACATTTATTATAGATTTTTTATATTTTCAAATACTAATTTCAGGACTTACAATCTCAAGCTAGTCGCACTTCAATGGATACGCCAATTATTGAAGAAGACAATACTTTAAAAGTTTCTTCGACTTCATCTTCGATTTCACCTTCACCACCGCGTACACCTTATAGTGCTGCATTAGCAGCTGGTGAGGCTGTACTAACTCATCGTATGCCTGATACGACTTCAACCGCAGGTGAATATGGTCTTGGCCGCATACAATTGTCTATACGCTACAGTGTACAACGTCAACGATTAGTGGTTACAATACACAAAATAATGCACATACCTCTTGATGATCCATCAAATATACCAGATCCTTATGTAAAATTATATTTACTGCCCGGACGTAGCAAGGAATCTAAACGAAAAACTAGTGTCGTGAAGGATAATTGTAATCCGGTATATGATGCTACATTCGAATATTTAATTTCTACAGCCGAACTTATGCAAACAGAATTGGAAGTTACCGTCTGTACACAAAAAGGGTTCCTCAAAGGCGGAAGTCCAATTATTGGAATGGTAAGTAAAAGTAATATTATTACCTGTATAATAACAAAAAGTATAAAAAACTCTATTTAATCTGTAATAATAAACATAAATAGAGAACACATTTAGGTAAATTTATTATACTACTTCTGACGGTTCTGTACCTAAAATTAAGATTAAGAAATCGATTGAACAAAGGAATAGTTACTAGGTGTATATTAATAACTTTACTAATTCCATTAGAGTACTACAGTAAATACTTGAGCCTCAAATCTCAAAAGTACACAAGATTCATGTATTTAGTTTCATTTTTTTGACTCAAAGTTGTTGCTATATGAATCATTAACATCTTTAGTAAAAATGTATCAAAAAGTATTAAGGGTTAAAAATCTCTTGCATTTTAATATCAAAGAGCATTAAATATTGAATGGTCCGTGCCTATGTCCTTGAATTATTAATACCCTTGAGTAAAAATTTTTACTCATTGTTAATACTAACAGCATTGAGTACAACTCCACAGGTCAATAGTGCAGTGATTTCTGAGTATTTTTCAGTACGGGTATTTAAGTAAAGGATAAATTCGAACATGAACAAAAAAGGATAATACTTCATTGCGGAAAGACGTGCTTACGCTTAATTAAAAAACAATTAAAATATATAGAAAGGATATTTCAAAATTTAAATTAAAGTCAAATTTTTGAAAAAAGTGTTTAATTAAAATAACTGAAAAGCCAAATGGATACGAATAATGATTATTACAGCAGAATAAAGCAGCTAATCAACACTGGTACTTATAGGTTATCTACTGCAAAGAAAAATACTAGCACCATTTGGGCAATATTTGCCAAAATTAAAGAAAGTGATGGTTCAATTTCTAAAGAGGCAGTTTGTTGCTGCATATGCAAAACTGTACTTCCATATTACGGAAGAAATCAATTATCAAATCTTGATTGTCATGAGTGCTATAAATCATATTTAGCAGTAGTTGATGCTTGTACTGCTTGGATAGTGGAAGATTGTCAGCCATTAAGTAAGTTACATGGAAAAGGATTCCAAGAAATGATAAAAATTTTTATCAAAATCGGTGCAAAGGTTGGCGAAAATGTGGAAGTAGCGGATATACTGCCGAACTTAACGACAATATCTAAACGCCTTAGTACGTTAGCAGAAGAAAAAAAAGCCGAAATGAAAAACGTAACGAAAACAAAGATTGCAAAAGAATATGCATCAGCTACGATTGATTTATGGACAGACGATTCTATGGAGAAGAGTTATTTATGTGCAATATTGCACTTTCCCAAAAATTTTGAAATGCAGAATATTGTTCTAGGAATAAAATCAATGGATTGCATATGCCCAAAGGAAATCAATATATACACTAAAATATCCGAACTATTCAATGAGTTTGGCATAAAGGACTCTGAACCAATTATTTTTGTTACTAAGGACAGTAATATTGAAAATGCGTTTCCAACGAAAGTAATATTCTGCGCTAACCAGTTACTGTCTAATACCATTAATATTGCCTTCAATGAAACTTTGGAATTGCAGGATATAATTGAGAGCTGCAAGCGACTTGTAAACTATTTCAAAACAGCAAATTTGCAGCACATGTCTGAGACATCGGTGAAAAAGGATTGCATAACTGGATGGTACGCACATTTTACAATGCTTAAGTTTATAAAAAATAACTGGTCGAGGATTAAAGAAATTCTTTTGCAACACGGAGAAGTAAATTTAACAAATCACCTGGATATAACTATAGTAAAATCCCTCGTCGTTCTATGCACTGATTTCGACATCATATATAAAAAATTACAAGATTGTACTTCACTTACGATTATTTTCGTAATACTATCTTTAGAAAAGTTAATACGAAATTGTAAACCAAACGAAAATGATGGTTCAGTAGTTTTGGCTTTTAAAAACAAAATAATTGAAAGCATTGAAGAAAACTTTAGACCAAACCTAACCATCATTCATCATGCAGCACTGTTTTTATATCCACCAACAAATCGCAAGTATGATTCGGCTGCCGTCAAAGAATTTTGTGTGAAAAAAATTATGGAGCAACACAACCGATCTTCTGAGGTTACTTCGTTATCTACGTCACCGTCAAAATTACCATTACCGCTAAAAGTAACTGACAAATCAAGTACTGCTGCAATTACTTCTGATAATGAATTTGAGTTTTTCTTTCCAAACTTAATAAACGAATCCTTAATGTACACCCAAGAGGATGCAATGGAAGAAGTTGAAAGCTATGCAATGAGGCAGATCAAAAATACTAAAGATTTTGACGCTTATGAATGGTGGGAGCGCTACAGAGACATCTATCCAAATTTATATAAAATCGCTCTCAGCGTGTTATCTATCCCCGCAACCAGTGCAGCATCTGAAAGAGTGTTTTCTTTAAGTAAAAATATGATGGAAGAATTGAACTGTTTGGAACCTACCAGTTTAAGCAACATTTTGCTTTTAAATTCGTTATCAAAAACTTTTAAGAAATAATTTAACACAATTAACATATATAGTTCAAAAATTTGCTTGAAGTTGGCATTAATGTATATATATTAGTCTACATTATATACCTATATTATTGCATTCATGAAACACAATTTTTTTAAATTTTAATAAACAGTACTTATAAAATAATATTAATAAAAAATATGTTTTTATTTAAAATCACGTTTTGATATACTTAGCTTATTTCAAATCCGATAAAGCTAGTCGAAGAAAAGAAACTTATTACTTTTGACTATTAAAAAGTGATTTCGTTCCAGTTCAGCAAAGTGCTGAAGACATGAAGAATTTTTTGCATTTTTTTATACTTCGGTCGAAATTATGACCGAGAGGTATCTAAATGATTTCCGTTGTCAGTTTCATTTTGGAGAATGACTTCGTGCGATGAATTACAATATTTCGATTGTACTCGTCAATTTCTTACCCATAATCGTTAAAATTCTTCCTAGATAATATGCTGCATTTACCGCCTGAACTTTAGGAATAAATTCACTGTCACCAATCCTTTTTTTACAAGCGAATTATTCCCCTTTTGGTTCTGCCGCACTTTGATCGATAATTTAATATTTGGATCTGCAACATTTCATTACCAGTTACAATAGCCGACATGGTTGACAGATTGCTTTAAAACTTTATAAACTTGTTTTTGCAATTTTAAATAGTTTAGACTTTTTGGTCGTTCATGAGAGTATGTAACAAACAAATCGGGAACAAATCTTCCGTTTATCAAAATTTTTGATCAAAATTCAATTGGCTATACTTTTCGGTATCCTATCGATTTCTTCGATATTTTTCGTAGATATGTCGGGCGTTTCGGCGTTTAGTTCATTACTAGTGATTTTTGGCGACTATGCGAAGTCATCGTCTTTATTCTACTCATTATTATTACGGAATTCTTACAGAGGTCTGTTAATAAATAAATATTAAAACTGCCCAAAACACTTATTAATACTATGTAAAAAGTTAAATGACTCTGAGATCAGTTTTTAGTGAACAAGAACTAATCCGATATTGGTCCATCTTCCATACGCACGGACTATGGACTATGGTAGTAAAATTCTACCACAGCGGGAGTCATATAATTCTTTTAAGTACCTTAAGAAAGTATACTTATAAGTAAGCAATTTAATTAATAACAGAAAATTTTTCCATCTCTTTTGATTTGTCATCGCCACCGCTTATCATTTCAATCATTCATAACAAATGTATTTAAAGAGTATAAGTTGTATTCGTTTTAACATAGCAAAAGTACTCCATGTACTTGATTTAAGTGATTATATTCTTCTTTTCAGTACTCTGATTTCAAGCATTTTTAGTCGTATATGCAGCACGTTATTTTGAATCTCCCTTAACAGCATCCTTTCTCAAAATGTAGGTATACCTACTACAAAAATACTATATAGCAATGTTTAGCTATCAACAAGTTGCAAACACAATTCTTACCTGAATAAAACAGATGCCTGCATTTCAAAGAGATAGAAAATTTTCAACCACTATTGTTCGTTTCATATATTTCTTTTATAATTTATAATTCTCATGTGTATTTTTGGCAAATGTTAGTTTAAATACGATTTGAATGGAAAAGACTTTGTTCTTGCTTCGGCAGAACATATACTAAAATTGGAACGATACAGAGAAGATTAGCATGGCCCCTGCGCAAGGATGACACGCAAAATCGTGAAGCGTTCCACATTTTTTTGTAGAATTAAAATAACATAAAAAATTAATTTATATGAGATTATTACTAATATATTTATAAACTATATTCAACTATTACAATAACATGTTTTTAAAATAACACATAATTAAATAAAATTTTTCTTTTGCAGCTTAAACTATCTCTCAATGAAGCCGAAATCTCCGGTAATGGTGTTAACTCTTGGTTTGATTTGGTTCCCGAAATGAAACATGACTGAACGGATGTACACGTGAAGGAATTTTTGAAATCGGTTAAAGCAACTTTTTGAATCTCTCATGCAACTCTTCATGTTAAATTGCACTGCTTTAATTTGAGGAGCTGTGCTGTCTACCAATTCTCAAGGCGGAAACCTTTTTTAAATATATATAAATTTTTTGTTAAATTATTTATTTTATGTAACTAAAACTGTGCCTATTCTAAATTGTCTTTTAATCAAATATTTAGAAATATTTTAAATAATATTTTTTTTAGAATTATGTGCCTTTATATTTGGCTTTTTGTAATTTGTCGTAAAAATTCCTTATTAAATGCGAAGGTATAATCATCATCAAATTAAATTTTTAAAATTTTCTTTCTAATCCTTCTTTGTAATGATTGTTGTGAGCTATGGTAATTAAAAATTTTATTAAAATCTGCACAACAATTGAAATAAATTAACTATTTACATTGTGAATATATTTATTTAAGATTCTACATATTTACTGAAATATATGTAATAAAGTGTTTGTATCTCAGAAATTTATAATACCTTTTTTATTTTTAAAAAAGTGCCAAGAATGCTTTTTTAAAAAGAGCACAACTTATTGAATATACTTTCCTATTTTATGTTTGGAAACTAACGAAAAATTAATGAAATGTTTATGAAATTAACAACAACACAACAATTTATGGACTAAGTGAACAAACTAATCCGATAATCCGAACAGGGAGATATCAAATCATCCGGAATTATTTGAACCAAATATTTTCTGAATACAGAAAAGTATTCAGAATTATTAAATTAAGTACTCAAAAACTAATTAAGTTTGAAAGACTCGTTGTTGTAGAAAAGAGAATCAACCAGTCACAATCTTTCATTTTTGGAAGATTATATATGACCCATATGACCCATATCCATATTCTAAAGTATGGGACACCAAAAAGAATAGTTTTGATATAGTTTAAAAAAGTTTTACAAATTTTAAAAAATTACTCTAGTGTTTATTTTCACCCCTACTTTCAAACAATATGCAGTTAATACAGGAGGTAATTATTCTATAATCTAGAATAAACTAGAAGATATACATATATACGGAAAATGGCTAAAATGTCATAGCTATAAGCTAAATAATGCTACTATTCTATAATAAGTATAGATAATAGCTTTAGTTGACATAGTAATTACTGACCTATAGCTAGCATCTTTAAACAACGGGTAATTAGTTATCAATAAATCAAAAGTCAGAGAACCACAACAAAGAAATAAAAAACAATAAATCAAATCTCTACTACCTTAGAATACATATGACACTAGCATTACTTATTACGTTATATTAAATAATTATTATATTTTTAATAGTATTTTATTGATATTACTAATACAATTTCTCACAATAGGAGTTTAAGAAAAACTGAATAATATCTTTCAATTTTGATATAAACATAATTAAAAATTCATATTAATTTTTTAATAATAACTGTGTGTTATATACTTTACGCACTTTTCATATTTTTGCATTGGTTTAACATTTTCGTAATATGAATATAATGTATTATATAAATCGGATGATGAATATTTAATTTTTAAAATAAAAAATAAAAGAATTTTGAAAAAAAATGTGGAACGCTTCACGATTTTGCGTGTCATCCTTGCGCAGGGGCCATGCTAATCTTCTCTGTATCGTTCCAATTTTAGTATATGTTCTGCCGAAGCAAGAACAAAATCTTTTCTATTCAAATCGTATTTAAACTAAAATTTGCAAAAAATAACATTGAGAATTATAATTTTTCTAAGTACAACAATAAACTACAATTTTTATGAAAATAAATTTTAGGGTTGAACTAAAAGCATGCTTCGTGCAATTTATCTCTTGAAACTCTAACACTACAGGTAGAAAAGGATTCCAATTTTGATTTAAAGACAAACTACTACCCCTGTTATTTCGACACTATGTCGATACCAACTTTAACAATATATTATTTGTATGAAAAGAGCTTAAGAATTTTCAACTACAGTTTACTGGTGTTCTCTATTAATTTTTTTATGAGCAATAAAAAAAATATTTTATATACACTATCATAATCACAACAACAAACATTTTATTATTGGATGTCATCTGTAATATAAAAGAATATCGAACTGAAGTATCACAATATACGCATATATGTTCTTTCCTAATATTTTGATTTCTTATATGCGAGTAACATATTTATCTTAAAAATTATTTCCATTGAAAAAATCACGTCCTTAAATTTTACATCAATATCGTACTGGTTCTTCTTAAACCCTAAGTGAATGTAGTCTCATTAGAGGTTAAGCTAGCAACTGGTATCTACTTAGAGTAATTTCATACCTACATGATTGAAGCAAAAATGTTTTTTTTAAGTAATTAACTAGTTTACATAATATAACCTAATTGTAGATTTTAAAGTAACCACTAAATCTATTTTTCCTCAGTTTACTTTAATAAAAACATTACTGAAAACAAGCCAAAAATTAGTGATACACCAGAAAGTACATATTTTTAGTATTTTTAATATATATCTTCCTAAAATGGTATGAATATTATTTTATCGGTTAACAGTTTTTACATTTCAAAATATATCATACATACATATATAGTTTCGAATATATTATTTGGAATACGTAATCAAATCTTATCATATAAACATAAAGCGACGTATCCATTCAAATATAGACTTGGCAACCCTGTTTTAGTCTAAAAATAGCTTGTACATTACATACACATCCAAATGCACTCAGTATTAATGTGTTATCATAAAACGATTTATAATTCTTGTATGCATTTTCAGAAAAAATTTGAATATATATATCAGTTTTAAAATCACGTAATTGTTCTTGCTTCGGCAGAACATATACTAAAATTGGAACGATACAGAGAAGATTAGCATGGCCCCTGCGCAAGGATGACACGCAAAATCGTGAAGCGTTCCACATTTTTTTGTAATATTTTTTTTTATTGTAAAAATTTGAAACATTTTTACTTAAAAAATTAAATACTATTTAAAATATATACCAAGCAAATCATAGTTTTTTTTTTTAATTTTGATAAATACAATATTTTCCAATGAAGTGAAAAAATTTCAAATATCGAATATATCCGAATAAATAGTAGATTGATTGAAAGTAATTTTTACGTAATAGCTTTTCGAGCCGACAGGACACTTCGACATATTACAACAATAAAACATATTCGACAGATAAATGTTTACATCAATTATAAATCTTATATATATAATTCTTCTGTACGTGTGTTGACAGTGAACTCCTCCTAAACGGCTGAACCGATTTTGATGAAATTTTTTGTGTGTGTTCAAGTGGATTCAAGGAAGGTTTAGATTCACAATTTGGCCCACTGGATAATGTCTTTTTAATCAATTTTTTATTTTTTGGTATCCATATACATTTATATTAAAAATTTAAAATTTATTCATGCTTACTTTGATTTGTTTAAAAACTTTAAAATCTCTAAAATGAATCGTAAAACTGCCGTTGCATAGCTTAAGTGCATTTAAATTCCGCAGCATAATTATAGGTGAGCCAATTTTTAATCTTAAGTTATGTGGTGGTGTTCCTGGTAAATCCAGCGAATTCAAAAATTCAACACAAAAAAGAAGAATTATATATATAAAGATATAAATATCGTACAAAAAACAATGCCACGTCTTCGACGGACTCGGAATTCACAATTACTCCAGAACCGTCGGTTAAATAGATCGGCAGAAAACAATGAAGATGTAAGAAACCAGGATACAATCACACGTGCTAATGAAAGTCAAGAGCAACGCAGCGATCGCCAGGAAAATTTATTGCAAAGGGAAACAACGTTCGCCGGGTCAGCTAGTATATATATATATATATAGACATATTCAGAAGTTGCAAGTATATTTGAGTTATCTTCTTTAACAAGCAATGATAACATTTTTTTTGCACCAAGACCGAACTATTTATTACTTGAACACTATTGATCATTAATTTTAGTCTCTTCCTGCTATAAATATAAAAATATAAATATTTATATAAAGTGCAATGGTGCGGCCAAGATTGTACCGGGGCATTATTATCGAAAATTTTTTTTAATGTGTTCCTGTAAGGAAGGGATTTACCAAGTCCCTTCCTTAATTTTTACTATAAAAATAAGAAATTATAAACGATATAATTTTATGCTGAGAAGACTGTAATTTTTGGGATTATATTATAAAGCTTGCCTAATCCAATATATAATTAAAATAGAATTTCAGTTTTGTGGCTTTTTATTGTAATATAAATAAAGATACAATAAATATTTATTTACACCTATAGATGTATATGAATGAATGTATATGTATAACATTTGAAGAAATAACTATTTAAATATGCTTATACATATATATTATATGATATTAATCATTTCATAAAAGTATTTTATTGTTATTTTTCGTTTAATTTGGTACCTTCTCTTATATGAACAATTTATAATTAACATATTTTACATATATTATCTTTACATATGTATGTGAAAACTATACTAAGAAATATATATTAAATTTTTAATAAATAATGTTATAATTCTTATATATGCAAATGTGTAAAAATATTATTTTTATATTTATTCATTTTTAATTTTATATGATAAATTTTTAATTTTAAACACAGATTTGGTTTTTAATCTTAAATTTTTATATAATTACATGAATGCTTAATTAATAAATTATTTATTCCATAAATTGAAGTTTTATGTATTTGTTTAATAATGTTTATAAAAAAAATTGTTACACAAATAACAATTAAAATGGACTTTTCAGGCTATAAATAATTTATAAATTGCAATTAAACAATTTAAATTGTATAAAAAATATTTATTAAATCATTTTAACTAAATTTGTGTTTACGTTCAAAATGATATTTTTATATTATATATTTTTATTTATAATTAAATTCTTTATTAATTCTATACAACAAATTAAGAATTATAAAATTAGAAGGCTGAGTATATAATAAATAAAAGTAATGTAAGTTATGAAAATTTTAACATATTTTTTAAAAATGTAAAAGTAAAGTAAAGCATAAGCATTAATTAAACAAAAATTATATAAAATATTAAGTAAAAAAAATTTTTTGTTTAATGAAATAGAACTTATTTAAACAATACCAAAAAAAAAACAGAAAATGTCAAATAATTCGAATCTCTAAAATTTATTAAATATGATATATAAATATACACTGAATTATACACTGAAGATGGTCGAAGTAGACCGAAATATTTGTAATATAAATAATTTTGTATAAAAATTAAAATATAACTAAATATTCAACACAGTTTAAAAAGTGTAATTTTTTATTTTGTTTAAAAAAACATTTTTATTAATTCATGTGTTAAATAAACAACCAAACCC